TGTGCATGTATTTTCAATAGTCTAGTGATTGGTATTATAACAAGAAATTGAATATGTTTTGATACTCACTTCCCCATGTTGAGTGATGCTCAACCACAATCATAAGCATGATGTATGCTAATCGCCGATAAATCATGTTGGAATATTATTTCACAACCGTCTCCAAGGTGCAGCTCGAACCCTAAACCTTTTTCCAAGAATCTCCGGAAAACAATCCGATGAACCGGTTATGAGCGGTAATATATGTATAAGGCATATGCTTCATCAATTTCAATGCAAGAGTCACCTGTAAGTTTTGAAATGAGTAAATACACGCGTATCAGCTTTGCAAAGCCTATCTGTAAGTAGGCAGAAGAAGGCGTTAACAGACTGCTCTTGAGTGTCGGTTTGATGATAACTGTGACTCACAAACGGAGTAATCATGTACAGATGTCATTGGAACATCTTCAACCCACTGTTTCTAATGGTTTCTCCTCTAGATTGCGCTCTTGAAAATTACAAAAGAGTTGAAACTACTCGGCTGCAACCCCACCCTCACAAAATCAATAACTGCGCATGCTCATAACCCTTCAAGATAATGTAACAACTTTGTAGTTAGCTTTACTTAAAATGATTAACGGAAAAATATCATGATACCCAACCCGGAGTGAAAGAAAACTTAATTACAGAAAAGAATATGCTACATCCATTTTTCATATCATATTGCTCTCTTTTTCCAATGTTGCATTTATTATTAGTAGTAGTAGAAGTAGCAGTAGTAGTAGGAGTAGTAGTAGGAGTAGTAGTAGGAGTAGTTGTAGTAGTAGTGAACTCATTATCATTATTATTATCATCATCATTATTTATACTATTATTACCACTATAAATATTATTATCGTTATCATTATCATTATTATTGTAAGTATTATTACTAATACAGTGTATAGTAGAAGTAGTAGTAGCTAGTAGTAGTAGTAATAGTAGTAGTAGTAGTAGTAGTAGTAGTAGTAGTAGTAGTAGTAGTAGTAGTAGTAGTAGTAGTAGTAGTAGTATTTGTGGTTTAATCATTATTATTATCATTATTGCTGTTATCAATTACTGTAACTCTCGGGTAAAAAAAAACTCCCATGGAAAAGTCGTATAATGCGGAATTAAAATCCAGATTTAGTTCTCAGATCAAAAATAAAATACTAAAGACGATTTTGGGAACTTGGTCATTCAAAGCCTCTACCACCACTAGTAGAGGTATTTCATTCGAATGGTTTAAGCACTTGACTTCAAATTAAAAGGTCGTGGGTTCGATCCCCGACACAGCCTGCTTTGCTAATGTCATTTGGCAGGGCATTAGTCTATATTTGCCACTCCATACCCAGGAGAGAAATTGGGACCTGGTAGGATGACGAAAGCCCTTGCCACTGTTAGTAATTGCCATAATGCTCTCACGGTGACCATATGAGAATACTCCCCAGGAGTGGAGATGGTGCACATTGTGCGTGGATGACTCCGATGACCGGGGTAACAATATCTATAAAACGCAGTATTGCCTATTATAAAGCGCGATATAAATCGAAATTATTATTATTCTCCTCTTTACCCTAGCAATGCCCTGAAAACTCATTACACATGCCATGGTATGGAATTACCAACATGACCAAGTTTCTATAGAATTGTATTTAATTAATGTTATCATCATAAAATAGTTAGTTGTGATCAGTGTCAACGATTTATTTACACTTACTTTCTATACTTTACGCCACACTTATAAAGGGAATATACACTTGAATCGAGTACTTGTTATTTGTAAAGCGAAACTATTTTAACTCTTCATTAAGTTCAATATCCTCATATACAATAAGCAGGAAATACAAGCAGTGCCCTGACACAGTTTACATATTTGTTTGTGTGTTTGATTTTATTTCTGGATTTTTAAACATAAAAAAAATAATATTCATAATAGGTCCATATATATTATTAACAAAAGTCAAAAATACATATAAAATCACATCATAATGTAAGTCAATTAAATAATTATACTTTTTAAAAAAAACATAAAATTGATAAATCATTTCAAAATTGAAAATGCAGGAGACTAACATCTTAAGTTAGAGCTTGAACGTGATGGCGGTCCCAGGCAAATAACCTAATTGGGTGACCAAACTTAAAGAAATGAATGAATTATAACACCCACATAATTATGAAAATGTTTTTTTTTTTACGATTTAATTAAAACACAATGATCGCAAGACTTTCGATTTTCAGTGTAGCCTCATCCATCATCTGTACGAAATGTCCGAGCTATTGCAATGGCGTTTATAATCCGAGCATGTTGTTTAGGACATAGAATATGTTATTGAAATTCTCTTGCGTTGATTTATATAAAGTCTGCGCGATTGTGTGGTAAAGATTGCGTTAAACTCAATACGAAATCGGTAATAAGGCTTCCTCTTTTGATGAGACACTTCGGTTCGGAATTAGCTATTAATGGGTATCTTTGCCTCAGATTTTAAACAAAATCTTGGATATAGCTCATGCTGCAATCATTATTATAAACCTTTGGGTCAGGCAGGAATCACATGACTTTTACAAGCCGATCGCCCGTTTGAATATCAAGATATTTATGATTGGAAATCGAAATTTCAAAAACCGTTTCACCCAAGGTTTTTATAACACTACAGTCTATTGGGGAAAATGAGAACGGTAAAACAGGTCACTCAAAGATTTTTACTTTTGGGGGCATTTTATGATCATTGTGAAGCGCAATTGTTTAGGGTTTCAATATTACACCATATCACAGACATTGATAACACGTAGGGCCATGCATCTCTTTTAAGACGGGAAACATTGTTAAACAAATTTAGAGGATACGACATGTATTTGACACTTGGAGACGGTTGGAAGAGTCCTAAAACTGTTTATTAATGAGGTAATTAGTGATCTCCTTGTCGAATCTGTACCTCCGTTCCTCCGTCAATTTCTCCCTCTCCCCCTTCTTTAATTCTCTCAATATCCTACCTCTCTCCCTCTCTCTCTCTCTCTCTCTCTCTCTCTCTCTTTCTCTGTCTATCTGTATTTCTCTAATTCTCTCTTTATCTCCCTCCCATCTCGATATCATTTGCCTATATCGATATCATAATATACCTATTTCATGACAAACTTAATGTAGCTCGTATTTAATGCCATTTCTCAATTATACCACAGTACAAATGCAATGCAGAGCCATGTAAAAGCAAAATCATTAGACATAGACAATGTTAAGTACACAATGGTGACTTTCTATGGCATGTATCTGCTTTAATTAATAACACATTACTGGAAACAGCATTGCGTCTGCGTAGGTATAGTCAAATACATTTGATTTGTCTAAGTGGAGTTTAGGTATTAAAACAGAGAGGCAAGATGACTACATATAGACATTATTGACTATAGCAAATTATCAGACGATAAGAATGTGCAGTTAAATTATAATTGTTGCCGTGGTAACGAGATAAATAGATACAATAAACAGCAAATATCATGGCTGTTCCTTGAACAAATGTCATCGTATTTAGGGCTAATCTGAATTATTTTACTACATTTTCCATAATTGAGAGTATAAATGTATATAAACGTCATTTCCACTTGAGTTTTCTAACATGGGATAACTCTTGAATAAATTATTTCACACACAAATTTTGACATACCCTACCCATTCACTTTCACGGAGTGGTTTTTTGTTCTTCTTCTTTAACGATGATTCTATGGGGGTGGCATGTATTCCAAGTGTTTATCTCTTTCCTTCAGTCAGTTTATTAAAGGTTTGTATATAATCTAAGCACTTTCAAAACTTTTTTTTCTCAGAAAAGATCAATAGTGAATTCTATCTACCAGTATTTATTGTCTCATAAGGTCATCACTTTTGTTAAATGGATGTGGTGTCTGATAAACAAGGATCCAATCGTTATCATGTTACATCTTCAGTTTCGAATATATGTTTCAGGGGCTTTAATTTATTCACTTTATATTCGAGCTGTTGTTAACATTATTAATACTGGACAATTTATATTTCTTCTTTATAAAAAGATAAAATTTCCTTTACAGATAAATTCATTATTACAATAATCATTCCTTTAATCAACGAACATAATTCAGAATTAGACAAAAAATACATGTGAGTGAGATTCCCTTTCATGACAGTCTATATATATATAATCTAAATAGAGTATTAGAGTATGGGCCTACTACACAAGATTAGAGCATGTTATATACCACAAATAGCCTCAATACAGCCTATATCGCCTACATCGAAAACTGAAGAACATGATTTCTGATTGATAATTATTTAACAACTAACTGCCCATATAACAATGGAGATTTACCTATATGATAAACATCTTAGATATGAAATTAAAGAGTTGTAATAAGGACGGTGGGAGAGGCCTGATTAATTGCTGTCATTCCCCCGTCGCTTCAATATCCTGAAAAATAGAGTTTAACAGTAAAAAAAGAAATGAAATTTTTATTTAGTAGTTTGTTTGTTTTTCATTGCTGTAGGACTTTCCTGTTTTACTGGAGCAAAAATTAAAAGAAAGCGTACTGATTGTGATGCCCTGTCAAAAATGTTAAAACAAACATGTTTGAAAAATGTTTGACAGTTTTTCCAACGTCTTTAAGAACAAAATCACTTAATAAAAATAAAATCCTGTAATGTCGACCTTCTCAACAGACACCGCCTTCTATATCTCGCAGAGCAGCCACAAATGCCGTTTAATTGCGTTTAATATGAGGCAAATCTAAACACTAGAGCTTTTATTGAAAATTTTCCTTCATTAGTTAAAGTTCTTGCAGCTATCGTGTTCTTGATGTTTTACTGCGTCTGCTCTGGTCGTCTTAAAGGAGGTATTTAATCTGATGAAATGCAAATTTAGCAAGCTACTTGGTGTCATCAGAAGAACAGGAGGGTGTTTCACAAAGCCTTTTTTCAATGACAAATGACAAATATCAGTGAAAAATCTGCTGATAACCAATCAGAAGCAAGGATTTCAGTAGCTTATATCAAAAACTGTCATTTGTAACTGATGGCAAGTTTTGTGAAACGGGGCCCTGATGTGGAGGAGGAGGAGGTGGAGGATACCATACTGACATTCCTGATACAACTCCATCTGAAATTGATACCATAGATAAATAGATAAATAAATAGATACATGAATAAATAAATGAATAAATGTATAAATAAATAAATAAATGAATAACTACGTAAGTGATTAAAAAAAATGGGAAGACGATTCCGGAAGCGAGTTGAAACCCACGTGGAAAAAAACATTGACATCACTTCACAATGCTCCAACGATAACTGCTCTGCGGTCAATGTCAACAACATCAGACGTCCCTCTTCAACAATAAACCCTCCACAGATCCAAACTCAAAACCTGACCTAAAAATCAATTCACAACTCAAGCACGAACCCAATACTTTTTAAAACGCATATCATTTAGGATCACCAGATTTCTCCTGAAAGTGCGCTCTAGTTTATAATTAACATCACTACAACAACATTTATTCATATGCTCTTTCTTCCCTTTCTATTTCACTGGAGTTTGGAAAGACATCATTTATTTATTTGTATTTTAATTGAGTCCCTACCTGACGATCTGGCTGATTCATGAAGATTTCTCTTATTGATCCGTCCATCTGTCCTGGCACGATTGGTATTCACCCTCAGTCGGCTAAGCAGTATCTGCGATGGCCACCCTCTGCAGCCTGGAGATGGGTAGATGCCTCCGGTCCTGCTGATGCTGATGCTGCTGCTTCGGTCCGATGCATACGTCCGTCGGATGACCCCAGACGACCGGTGATCCCTCGAGGTAACAGTTTTGGTGAGCCGTACGGACTGGTACCTTCATCTTACAACATAATATCCATGATCACCCTCAGTACCCATGGGATAGGTAGGTAGAGTCCCCACGGTCGTGGTGCAGAGCATTATGGGTGTGCCGTTGGTTAATGTGACAGGGATGCCCGAAAGCCAGTACACTCGGTTGCGGACTCCACAGGGATCCCTCAGATGTGACCTGTACCTATCCTCGACAGATAACTTTGGGGTGGGGCGGCGCGTGGCGGGGGAGGAAGCGCAATCTGATACGCATGCTTAAATATTGTCAATGTTGACCTTTTTTTGTTGATCTTCCGAGAAAAAAAACATACAAATGGCGCGGGGAGAATCATGCTAAGGACGCGTCTGCAGATGGGGAGAGTGCGCGTTCTTGCTACATGCGACGAGTCGATTTACTTACCTGCTGCCCTGGCCATCTTTGGGATAGGTATACCCTGATCAGCATCGGCCAGAACAGTTTTATTCATACTTACTGGGACCAGCGCTGCAGACAAGTGGCCCAAGGGTGTGGTATCCTTCTTCGTTGCCTACCCCTCCCGCCGTGTCACCGAACCGTAGTTGCGTGACGGGTAGGAAAGTGGCAGAGAAGTCGTTGATATCGCCGCTGTCTTCTGCCCAGCTAATGGCGTCGAAGTCACAGTTGCAAAGCTCAGATGCACCTACGGAAATAGATGGATGGTTGTACGTGATGTCACCCATCTCTCAATTCTTTTTTGGCATTGTCTAAACTTTGTATTATGACCGTGTTCTTCTAACTTTGTCATGTTAAGTACTGTCTTGTCTCGCTATCGTCTCTGCTGGCATCCCCCCTCCCCCCCCCCCCCCATTTTGTAGTTCCTTTTGTAGATACGGACCTGTTAATATCATTTGAGGTGTTCACACTTGTACAAGCATTGCTTTTTAGTGGACCCCTCTGTTTCCAATATGTATTTCTACATTTGTTGTGAATGTTTATAACTGATAATTTGTAATGTTGTGTTGGAAACATGAATAAATTTAAATTGAATTGAATTGAAACATAGTTGTCGTTGTTAATTGGTGTTTCCCCGAGATTTTCAGTTACTTAATAAGTTGATATTTCATGTCAAACGTGTTCCATTAATCTGTTCATGGTACCCGTTTCTACTCCTTGGTAATATCGGTTGTACTATATTTTTGGCTTTTGGAGAAAAAAAACGATATAATATAAATTCGAATTTCAACTAGTCTGTTTAGCATTATAACAAATGATAAGGTACTACCATTACTGCATGATTCAGAATAAAATCATGTGTTAACAAGATTGTTACTGTTTTAGTTGTCGTTGGCTTGTGTATATTGTTTATTATTTGTTTACTTTGTTTGGTTTATCCGTTTTGTTTGTTTCTTTCTTTCTTTCTCTATTTCCATAATCAATTGTTTTGTTTTATTTGTTTGTTTATTTGTTTGTTTATTTTGTATACGTACTGCTGCAGCTGCCATCGATACCGCAGGGGCATGACGAGACACTCTCATTGGCTACCCCAAAGTTGGTCCGGGGAGCTCCCAGGCGATCCACAAACCAGCTCATATCGTTCTTCAGTAGGGTAGAGGCTACGGTATCATGGAGTACACAAACACAGAAAGAGAAAAATGTAATTAAGTTAGTGACTCCGAGCTTCGGACGGCAATACCTGTCTTGTTTTTGTCTTATCATTTTACAAATCATGAGAAATACAGTAAGACAGTTTTTGCCAGCACGAAATCAGATGAAAAATAGGACTTTTCCAATTAGGCCTAAATCAAGACCTTGTCAAGACTAGTTTCATGTCCTTTTGTCTAGCTATTCTGCAGTGTTATTTCATCACTAAACTGGTATTGAGTGAATTAATATCACTGCGTCAGTTACAGTTGTTACATTGTTACATTGTTTACACGCGCCTTGAGCACTCCACAGAGTGGATTTGGCGCGATATAAGTTACATTATTATTATTATTATTATTAAAACAGGGAATTAATCCCCCCAAATCAAAATCCCTTATTCTTACCATAGCATTCGTATTGGATGGTCTGCACACAGGCAATGTATACGTCACTGATATTATTTGAGAAGAGTGCATCGAATTGTTCTATTGTGACGCCATCATACGTCACCATCTTCTGGTAGTCTCCGGCCGAGGCTTTGTCGACCACGTGTGTGCGGTCTTCCGAGTCGTGGTGTATGATCATCTGCGCATGCGTGGAATTGAAGCTAGGGTCGCAATAGACTGCATGGTTCAAGACATTAAAAATTACGCCGATAATAGTTTGAAATGTCGTTTACGAAAAGAAACAGAATGTACAAAAACCTCGTAAAATTTACACTAAATGTCAAAAAGTTGATAACTTGTGTCTATCTAAATGAAGCTCAGTTTTACAGGAAACGCCTCTCAGCTGTATTTATTTATAGTTACACAAAACAGCAACAACAACAACCTAAAATTACCAATAACAACCCGAATAAAAGAGATTAGAATATTTCAATTTTGGACGCACACTAATTATTTTATCATCTTCAACGAATTCCATGTTCATTTGTAGAAAATAAAACCATAAACGATTACGATTACTACTTTATTTGCTATTTAAAAAAAAAAAGTCTTTGTTGATTTATGAAACTTTAAAAAAATGTAGCGTAAAATATGTTTTAATGAAGCTTAAAGCCCATCTGTACTAGTTTGGCCAGAGGAATTAGACCAACGAGCGTGGTCACTCTCAATTAACATAAGAAAAAGAAGATCATGGGAGACCAATGGTCACCGATTATGCATTGTTTGTTATATAGAGGGCGCAAATAGCTACAAGAAGTACAGTGGGGATTTAATAGGAGAAAGTATTATCTGATGTTATTCTTACCCACGAAAGGCTCCTCACCATCCGACCCATCGGGGTCTATCAGATAGTCCCCGGCGATGGAATCTCCGTTCTGCTTGATCTCATAGCACGACTCGGGAGGTGACGATCCGGAATCTAGGGAAGAAAAAGAGGGGGGAAAATGAATTCATCTCAGTAATTGAAAAACGTAAGAAAGCCGCCCCCTCCTCCTCCCCTGCCTCCCCTCCTCAAAAAGTCATAATTTGTATGATACAGTGGCTGATAAAAGGCAGGAAAAACACATTACTTCTCTGAATTACACACATTACTTGTTTGCATTACAATTACCAAAAACAACGTCAAAGATATTTCAATGCTCACTTCTGTTATATCATTACGTTACCTACCTTACCTTAAGCCTTGTATCCCGTTTTCCTTTTCACTTTACCTTTTTTCCCTTAGTATTTCTTCTGTTTGTGACCACACGATCCGGGGGCGGGTAGGCCATAGGCTTCCCGTGCCCCCCCCCCCCCCCCCCCATGTATATAGCTGGACCACTACATACCTTCTTTAAAACATTCGAGCTTGCCGACTTTGACCGTTGCGGTCGTGCCGAAGGGCACCCCTCCTGCTCGCATCTGTTTTATCGGGAGCTTGGAGCGGTCTGTAACCCAACCGTTGTCCTCGTGTATCGTGGTCTGAACGCCATCGCAGTTGCAGCTTTGGCTGCTGTCAAAGCAGCTTCCGAGAGCACCTATGGAGATGTAAATATAATAATTACAGTGCTTATATACCGCCTAACACTTACTTTGTCAGAAGTCTCTAAGCGCTCTACGATAATGCAGCATAATTACCCTGGCTTAAGCAGTGCAGCTGTTACGCGCGCTGCGTTTCAAGGAATAAATTCCTACCAGGTACCCATTTACTTCACCTGGGTGGAGTGTGGCAAATGTAGATCAATGTCTTGCCAAAGGACATTAGTGCAGCGGCGGGACTCGAACCGCGGACCTTGTGATCGGCAGTCCGGCGACGTATCCACTCGACCACAACACCTCTACCATGTATGATACCATGTATGATAACAGACACTTTATAGGGATCGTTTAACAATGTTAAATCTGATATGCACGGCCCTACGTGTTATCAGTGTCTGTGATATGGTGTTATATTGAAGCCCTAAAAAAAAACGCGCTTCAAAATGATCAAGAAGTGCCCCCAAAAAGTAAAAACCTTTGAGTGACCGGTTTTACCATACTCGTTTTCCTCAATAGATGCTATGAAAACCGTTTTGCATACACAAAATTTGATTTCGTTTTTCAATAATAAATATCTTGATAATCAGACAGGCGATCGGCTTGTAAAAGTCAAGGGGTTCTTGACTGACCTAAAGGTTTATAATTATCGTTGCAGCGCGAGCTACATCAATGATTTTTTAAAGGATCTAGACAAAGTTACCGGATCCCTTAAAATACGCATAGTAGTGAGTTCTCATTGGGAATTTAACACCCTTGTGGTCTTTATCCAATAACAGGTGATGTCAAGCAGCAAGAGTGGACTTCAATTTTACGACAGTTTTTGCCTGTTTAGTTTTTCTTATCATTTTTGATTCAGTACTATTCAAAGTGTGTGGATGTAGTATGCTTTGGAACTGAACTCTTCATCTATTTCTTTTTAATCGTCATTTAAATTAGGTTCTATGTCATATATTTTTCCAATAGAAACATTGTTCAAGTGAGATAACACACTGTAATTGGAGAAATGTGTCTTTTATATAAATGTCTTTGATAACGAGTGGATCTGACGTCAAATAATGGCAGAATTCCAAATAGTTTAAGCCCGAGTTTAAGTAACTTAATATGATAATAAGGGCAATGTATCAGGACTATGATAGGGGTAATATCAGGACTATTACAAGGGCAATATCAGGACTATTACAAGGGTAATATCAGGACTGTTGACTTACCACATGGGCACATGTTGTCTTCGCTAGTGCCCGCCCATGCTTTGGACTTAGAACCATCGCGTATCCCTAACCAACAGGAGATTCCTGGATCCACTATTGCACCTGGGATAAATCAGATGGCGGGTATTGAAAAATGATGACAAACTATTTGGTTATATTGTTATGAGTGGTGTAAGTGCCAGTATTTATGTAGTTAGGTAGTCACTGTAATCAGCTCTGCATGTTTAAGTAACTATGAACACCATTATCATCGTCATCGTCATCATCATAATCATCATCATCATCACCATCATCATTCTCATCCACATTATCATCATCATCCTCATCATCATCATCATTCTCATCCACATTTTTATCATCACCATCATCAACATTATCATCCTCATCATCATCATTATCAATACCATCCACATTATCATCCCCATCCCCATCCTCATTCTCATCATCATCATCATCATCATCATCATTCTCATCTTCATTCTCATCCTCATCCTCATCATCATCCCCATCCCCATCCTCATTCTCATCATCATCATCATCATCATCATCGACATTTTCATCATCATCATCATCATCATTCTCATCCATATTATCATCATCATCATCATCATCATCATCCTCATCATCCTCATCATTCTCATCCACATTTTCATCATCATCATCATCATCATCATCATCATCATCATCATCCTCATCATCATCATCATTCTCATCCACATTTTCATCATCCTCATCATTCTCATCCACATTTTTATCATCACCATCATCTTCATCATCATACCCATCCTCATTCTCATCATCATCATCATCATCATCATCATCGACATTTTCATCATCATCATCATCATCATCATCATTCTCATCCATATTATCATCATCATCATCATCATCATCCTCATCATCCTCATCATTCTCATCCACATTTTCATCATCATCATCATCATCATCATCATCATCCTCATCATCCTCATCATCATCATCATTCTCATCCACATTTTCATCATCATCATCATCTTCATCATCATTCTCATCCTCATCATCATCATCCCCATTCTCATTCTCATCTTCATCATCATCATCATCCTCATCCTCATCAGCATTACCGTAATCTACTTCATTATCCTACCATTAGAACCATTATCAGCAGCAGCATCGTCATCATCATGTCAATCGCCATCGCCATCATCATCATCATCATTGTCTTCATCATCACCATCACCACCATCATCGCCTTACCACCACAACCAGCGTCATCATAATCATCACCATCATTATTATCAACATCATCACTGTCTTACCAGCCATAATGGAACGACCACAATGGCCACTCCCATTATTATAAGTTATTATAATATGAAAGAATGATAAGGACCCCAAAGCGGTTACCATGGGGAAATTTACAAAATCCAAAAAGTAGGGGCCTCGCAAATATCGTTTCAATCAGGAAGGCGCTCCGGAGTAATTATACTTGCACTAGCTGAAATGTTTTCTTTAAGGAAAATTCCCAATCGGATTAAAAAAAAATTAAAAAAAACTTTCCCGACGTACCGGTACCTCCAAGAATAAATTTGCCAACAAAATTCACGAATTTCCCGCAAGAGATAATGAAGGAAATTATAAGCATGCTCATCACCATTCTCAACCCATGCGGCCACGCCCCTGAGTCGAAGTTTCCCATGGGTAAAGTGACCTACCGTTTTCGCAGCTGAAGTCGATTCTTTGCCTGCAAGCGTCCTCGCCATCGACTAAGAGAGCCGTTTTCGAGATCGTTGCCGAATAATCGTAGTTGATGTCGCGAGCAAACCGTCCTTCCCGGGCAAAGTCTGTGATGTCGAAGGCACTCTCGAAGTCGTGTCCGATTCGTGTTAGGATCGCATTTTCCACAGAGTTGAAGTCGCAGTAGACTGCAACAGAAGCATGGTTAAAAGAAAAGAACATACGAAATGTTTTGTTTACAGATGAAGCATATTTTTGGGGTACTCTTATAATCAATAATGTTTGTTTCGTCAATACAGTTATTTTTTTTTTGCAAAATATTTTATATTCACTTGTAAAATGCAAAACGTTATTCAACTATTTCCTTCTTTTCAACGAGCTCTCAAACATTTAGAAAATATGGAACGTATAATTGCTTTCAAGAAAAATCGTCTCGATTTTCATAATAAGAAAGGGCAGATATTTTGTTAACTTTTTTTTTATTGCTGATGAGTTAACTATTACACTATATTTTTATTATACATATTCTATGTCTATACGAACTTGTTATTATTACTATTATTATTATCATGTACTGTTATTATTATGAATGAGATTTGTTTTCAACAAATATTTTGAAAAAAAAGACTGCAACAGAAGCAGAAAGTGGTTCGTGTTGTTGAGGAGGTTCAGGGTTCAACTATATTGACCATGCTTGTATCGAAGTATACACTTCATGATATATTAATTCTGATCATAAGAAGATAATGAATGTTAATTAAATTG